GGGCCAGGCAGGACCAGCTACATAATTTGTAGAGCCCAGTACAAAATAAAAATGCAGGACCCTTGTTCATAAAGTCATAAGAAATCCAAAGTGATGACAGCAGAGCATTGAGACAAACACCGCTTCTAAGCATGGGACCCCGAGGAGCTACACAGGTTGCAGGCCCATGAAAGTGGCCGTGGGGCCATTTAATTATTCAAATGTGGAGCACAGACCCTCTTCTAATGTGGACACGGTTGAGGCACGACTCGAAGGAGCTGAAGTGCTCCATTGAAGAATATGACTTTCATGGAGGCAGGAATGTGGGCTGTTTGGTTACCACCATATCGCCAGAGTGCAGAGCAGATGCTCAATCAATATTTATTGGGGAGAAAATGAATAAATGAACATGAAATGCTTTGTACACAATAGGCAGCTGCATCATTACAGACTTTACTTATCTTTGCTTTTGGGTTTTCTGTGTAGGACACTGACCTGTAAGTGCAGGCAAACCATTGCCTGTGCTTCTGGAAACAGGAATATTCCTTAGGAAACATTTACTCAAGAAAACCAAGGAGTTGTTTCCATCAAAGTGTTTGAGAAAATCTGAGCACAGATGGTACCTGGGGTTGAGAGGACCAAGTGTAGCCCCAACTGGGAGCAAGCCCTTCTTGTCACTAATGAAAGGAGCCCAGAGCCATTCATTCACCTCAACTATTGGACGCATTGGGAACCTGTCTTGGAACGTTAGCAATATACCTATGTGCTTAAGACCAAGGGCACCGAAGTCAGACTAGCTTCATTGTTCTCTGCTCCTGGACCTTGAACACGTTACTTAGCCTTTCCATGCCTCAGTCTCCTCATCTATAAAAGGGAGGGATAACATAGTATCTACCTCACCAGGCTGTTTAGAGGCTCAAATGAATTATACGTGCCAGGCCCTTAGAACAGTGTCTAGAACATAGTAAATGCTATACAAGTATATGCTGCTTCTTATAACACTCTTTGGAAGACACCATGGTCTGAGACAATCGTGAGGCAACTTTAAGCATCTCCCCAGACAGTAAACATTGATGATGGGAATAGGAACAGAAGAGGAGGAACAGGCTGGACACTGCCAAAAAGCAAGTATGTGAGCACTTTTGTCCCCCCAACCCTTACCTTAGCAAATTGCTGGAAACAGCCAGGGAAGAAGAGTTCTTTACTTCATGGGGAGGTGGGAGGCAGACAACAAGCACGGGAAATTCAGGGCACCAGGGCTATCATGTGATTTGACTTGTAAATTTAGGCTGGAAGCAGAGGTGCACAGTGGGAGTCCACACACCTTGATGGTTATGAGCAAGGGTCCTGGGGTCAGACTGTCTGGGTCCAAGTCTGGCTTACCCATGGGTTCAAAGCTAATTTAGTGGTGTAACTAGAACCCAGCCCTTGGGATGCCTGGGTAGCTCGGTCAGTTAAGCATCTGCCTTCGGCTCAGGTCATGATCCTGGTATTCTGGGATTGAGTTCCTGCATCGGGCTCCTTGCTCAGCAGGGGGCTTGCTTCTCCCTCTGCTTATCACTGCTTGTGCCCCCCCCTGACAAATAAATAAAATCTTAAAAAAAAAAAAAAAAGAACCCAGCCCTGAGTGATAAGCCTTCCTCTAGAAGGCAAACATTGAACTGGAATTGGTATTCTAAGTTTTTCTACATTCTCACAAAAGACCAACCCTGTGTTTGGGTAACCAAAAGGACTACTGGCCCAACTGGCCACTATGTGTGAAGCAAGAGAAGTCTTCATTTTCTGAGCTTTGCAAGGCTCAGGCTGGTCTTGACTTCCAATTTACCCCCTTTGTCAGGAGAACTTGTCAGGGTTTAAGCTCAACACATACTCAAAACACAGTTAACCAAATCAGTTACTATTTTAGGTAAAGAAAACAACAACTTGGAAGAAAATCATCATTTAATTAAAAAACAACAAAGTCCATGAATTTTACATATATTTTTGCAACTAGTCAAGACTAAGGAGACTGAATCCTGGAGGCTCTAGCCAGTCATACTTTCTTAAGAGAGTTAGGATCCTAGCAGAAAATAAAATATATTATCTTTCTTAGAAGGAAATGTTAAGAAATGCTTTGCCAAACAGAGATTGGAATTGAAAAATAGTGGTCACTCTCACCAATCATATATGAAGTTCAAAAGAATCGTAAAAAAACAATTTTCCCATGAAATCTTTAAGCAAAAAAAAAAAAAAACCTATAAAAGTAATTTGAGACAGTTGTACAGTAAATTATCTCTGTGGTTTTAAAATGGAAAAAAAGAGATATATTAAAATATCTTCTATATGTAATTTAGATACAATTTACAATTTAGATGCAAGTTATAATTAAGTCAGTAGTAAGAGATGTGAAATCTTTGCATTTGGAAAGTAGAAATGATTTAAGATTTTCACAAGTACCACCAATTGTATATATTTTCCTGATATATTCTCCAGATTCCTGTCAAGAATCTTCCCAAGACTGAGGATTTCTTTCCCTGCAGTATGGATAGATGAGTGCTGGACTGGGTCAGCATACAGGGGTTTAGACTGTGTTCGGCCACCAACCAGCTGGACCTGCCTGGAATGATCTTCCTCTCATTCTCCTCTGGCAAACTCCTGCTCATCTTTCGAGACTCAGCCCAAATCCCAGCTCTTCTGGGAAGCCTTCACGGACTCCCCTGGAGAGTCTCTTGATTCTCACACATTTTGCTCATGTGTCTTTTCTAGTTTTTTAGCTGTTTCATAATTTTATTTGTTTTCCTAGCACCTAGTACAATACTTGACTAAATGATTAAATTAATGAACGAGCAGTGTGCCTAGGCAATTCATATAACCTCTCTGGTACTGCATTTTCTTCATCTGTAAAAGGAAGACGTCAGGCTATTTCTCAAGGTCCCATCTGGTTCGAATGCTCCTTGAATACATATTCAGTCACCAGTATTCCACCCAGGCCTTTTCCAGGGGGAGGGCAGACAAAGTTGCCTCTGGGGTTCTGCCATATCCCCTTTGTACCCTCTCCATTCATCTGATTCCCCCACATATCCTGGCTATGACTTTTCTGCAGGCCTTGCACTCAACTACTTGTCAATAGTGTCAAGGTTAAGACATAGAGCCTGGAGACAGACTGAGTTCAAACACTGGCGGCAGCACTAACTAGCTATATGACTTTGAGAATGTTAGTTAACCTCTCGATTCCCTAATTTTTAAAATAGGGATGATAATCGCAATGACTCTACTTCCTAGTATGTCTAACACAGGCTCTGACCAGTCAGATTGGACCCAGCCTTAAACGACCACACAGCTATGCTGAACACAGGAGGCCTCCCCCACCCCTCTTCCTTCCAGTGCTGAGTCTGTTGCAGCCATTGGCTGTTATTTTTGAGACGAGATCACATAAGGGCTTAATAAAAGGTGCCCCCCCCCCCCAAACTTGAAATAAGGCCTTGGCAGTGGGATAACTCAGATAGTTGAAGTCCAGTCCCGAGAAGGCTCACCTTAAGACAGGTTTTCAAGCTCAGTTGATTTCACTTTGGCAAGGAATGACCAAGCTTTGGAACCTACACCTCCTGGTTTGTGAACAGAATATATGTCTGCCTATTATCAGAAAATAATATTACATGGTTTCTCAAGATTTATAATTCTCCGATCATATGTGTAACTTAAGAAACTGTTATTTTTAATAACAGTATTTAATGTTAGAATAACACTTCATGCATTTTCCTGTAAATTACTTCATAAGATTCTCACAAGCCTTAAGTGAGATGGGTAGGGTGATATTATCTATCCCATTAAAAGAGTAATCACTAAAATAAGTCAATCAGAGAAAGACATGTATCATATGACCTCACTGATATGAGGAATTCTTAATCTCAGGAAACAAACTGAGGGTTGCTGGAGTGGGGGTGGGGTGGGAGGGATGGGGTGACTGGGTGACAGGCATTGGGGAGGGTATGTGCTATGGTGAATGCTGTGAATTGTGTAAGACTGTTGAATCACAGACCTGTACCTCTGAAACAAAGAATACATTATATGTTTAAAAAGAAGAAGAAGAAGAAGAAGAAGATAGAAGGAGAGGAAGAATGAAGGGGGGGAAATCAGAGGGGGAGACGAGCCATGAGAGACTATGGACTCTGAGAAACAAACTGAGGTTCTAGAGGGGAGGGGGCTGGGGGGATGGGTCAGCCTGGTGATGGGTATTAAAGAGGGCACGTACTGCATGGAGCACTGGGTGTTATACACAAACAATGAATCATGGAACACTACATCAAAAACTAATGATGTAATGTATGGTGATTAACATAACATAATAAAAAAATCTTCTAAAAGAGTAATCACTAATTTGTTGTATCTGGGAGTATCTAACACATACGATTTGGGGCAATTCTTTGGAAACTCGCATAAATATTGATGAGCTAGTAGTATTCTCTGGGAAAGTAAGAGAATAACTCAGATTTCTTCATCAATTTTCTGGACTCTAATTGTAAATCTTGGATGATGTAAGCGTCTAGGGATAAAACTTAGATTACATGGATCTGTGGCTTAGAAATTGCTGTTGACACAGATAATATATTACTTCACTTACTCCAAGAATACAAGGTAAGTGACTTTTGTAATTCACAGAGCAAAGTAGAAATAGAGGCATACCAAACACATCGGTTAGTTATAAAATAACGTAGTAGAATCCCTCTGGAACACAAAGCTATTAGGAGTTCTGTAAACCATCTCTCCTATGTGGAGATGAGCGTGGTGTTTGGTCACAAAGTACAATTTTACTTGACTTGACAGAATACGTGGTACAGAAAGAATAATCTTCACCCAGCAAATCACGATTGTAGTCCCAATCCCCTCCCACTATTCATTAAGTTAATATACCCTTGACTTTTAAGAGAATGCTTAATAATAATTAAAGCTGATGCCTTAAAAATGTACGTTTGACTATATTATTGTGTCCTGTAGACTAGATGTTAATATATAATAGCTGGATCTTCTGTCTTCAATTCTAGACAAGTATTTGTTCACTGGTCATCTTATTTGATAAGTCCAGAGGAAAAGAATTGTGTCAACTCATCACTAAATGCAATTCCTGTGAAGCTTCCTTATTCCTGAGAGCAAGTGAGGTAAGCAATCTTTGTTTATTGAACAGATTGATGGAGTAACATTTTGGAAAAATTATAGGAGTAAGCAGATGGGAAATGGGCAAAAAGCCACACGGGTAAGAAAAATCATGGGTTTTTCACCATGTAACTATAAAATACGAAGGAAAATTCTTTGGGGAACCCCATGGGTCACTTGATTCAACAACAGTGATTTATTTTCCATTGAGCAAGGGCTTTAAACTTTGGGAGTACAGGGAGTTTTATGACATATGGCTCTCAGCACCAGCTGTGACAGAAAAAAAAAGGACTGTTGATAGAATAATTCTGACCAAGATAATGAGATCCTTAGCTGGCTGCATCTAATAGCCTCACAGGAAATTTTAGAATGGAAGTCAGCCAACAAGCCCATCTTCATTTGCCCTTTCCTTTGAGTTGGCACAAACAGTAGACATTTATTTCTCTGAAAAATTAATTCCTTTAAAAAAATTTAATGGTGTCCTTTCAGATGATAGTCCAGCCTATATTTCAAAACTAGGTAAAAGCTTCAAAATTACTTTCCATGTTGCTGGCTTATTCCATCTCATCCTTGGCCTCATATGTCATCCTGGGTGTTGTGTTGTGACGGTGGAGAGACTGATCATACTAGAGCCATTTGAGATGGGAGTGCAGGAGAGAAACAGCCCACAGGAGCTCTGTCTCCACATAGAGAAGGGTCTTGTGCAGCAGGGTAAATGTAAGCAATACAAGCCACAGATGCTTTCTAATTAGTAGTGCTATAGATTCAATCTTTGTGTCTCTCCCACCAATTTAATATGTTAAAATCCTAACCCCCAACATAATGATTTCAGAAGGTGGCAGCTTTGGGAGGTGATTAGGTCATGTGATTCAGGTCCTCATGAATGAGATTAGTGCCCTTATAAAAGAGGCCAAGAAAGTTCCCTCACCCCTTCTGCCATATGCAGTTATGAGGAAAAGATAGTCCTCAATGAGGAAACAGGCTCTCCCTAGGCACTCAATCTGCTGGCACTACGATCTTGGACTTCCAGCCTCAAGAACTTTGAGAAAGAAATGCTTGTTGTTCATAAGCCATCCAGTTTATAGTATTTTTGTGAGAGCAGCCCGAATGGACAAAGACAAGGAATATGGCATAATCAGATCTGTGCTTCAAAAAATCACTCTGGTGACAATATGGAGGACAGATTGGAAGAGAAAGACGAAAGATGAAAGACTTGGTTATATTACTTAGAAAATTCTATAAAAGGGCTGAGGGGAGAGATGCTGAGAACCTGAACTAAGGTAGTGGCCCTGGGGACAGAGAGAAAAAAACAGATCAGCACACTTAGTCATCAGGCCCTGTTCATTTTCTCTCTGAAATCTCTCCACCAATTTAACCAAATGTCCCAGTAATGTCCTTTATAGCATTTTGTTTTCCTGCAGTAGGAGGTGCAGTTCAGGATCACGAATTGTACTGGGTTGTTATGTCTCTTTAGTCACTTTTAATCTGGAACAGTTCATCAGCTTTTCATTATCTTTCATGACATTGACATTTTTTTTTTTAAAAGTACAGGTCAGTTCTTTTATAGACTGTTTCTTAATTTGGGTTTATCTGATGTTTTCTCATGATTAGATTCAGGTTATGCATTTCCAGATGGAATACCACATAAGCAATGTCATGTCCTTCCCAGGGTCACACCTGGAGGCCACATGATGTCTGGCTGCTCCTCATTGGTTATGTTCATCTTGATCACCCAGTCTGGTTTCTCCACTGTGTAGTTACTACTTCCCCCTTTGTGGCCAATAAGCAATCTGTGGGGAAATATTGTAAGGCCATATAAATGTTCTGCTTTTCAGCAAACATTCCTCGCCAGACTGAACATTCTCTGATGATGCTTATCCAGATCAATATTTACTAGGATGGTTACCAAGTGGTGATTTTTCCAGCACCTCCAGTTTTAGCTGGACATATACTGTCAGAAATAAGGGGCCCTCTATCCCAGTCTAGTTGTGATTTTGTGACTAAATTCTCATTGTAGCATTCTGTGGAATTTCCAAGAATCGTCCTTAAAAGCACAGGGGTGAGGGGCAGGTGCTCATCTTCATCCCCGCTTCCTGCAGCCTCTAGGCTGAAGGCCCATCTGTCAGATTAGACCACCTTGGACCTTGCAAATGAGATCCTCAAATAAAGGATACCAGAGCAGAAAGATAGAAACTTGTGTCCCTGTTTACACCATGAAGCTTCTGCACCAGCCTTAGACTGCCTGTGTTCAGACTTGTACCTTGTTGAAGCCACTATTTGGGGGGTCTCTGTTATAGATGAACAAAAATTTCTAGCTAGATACATACATATTAGTTGAATTCTTGAGAAAGTATGGGCAGCTTCCTAAGAAGAACATGGTGTAGGAAGAGAGAAGACCCAAGGGGCTCCTGGCTGGCTCAGTCAGCTAAGCATCTGACTCTTGATCTCAGCTTGGGTCTTGATCTCAGGGTCCTGAGTTCAGACCCCACATGGAACCTACTAAAAATAAAAAGAAGAAGAAGAAGAAGAGAGAAGACCCTAAGAGATTAGGGTGCTGGGGAACACTGAAAATTACTGGGTAGAAGAATAGCCATTGTAGAAGTCTGTGAAAAATCAAACATCAGGACAGAGCGGTGCCTCCTAGATCAAGGAAAGAAAGAGTTTGCAGGGAGAATGGAATGAACAGTTCTCATATCAGTAGAACGTCAAATAAAGTAAGAACTGAAGAGCCTCCATTGAATTGGCCATTAGAAGTCTTTGGTCACCTACCAAAAGGAATTTTACTAAAATGGAGGGGGGAAACCTAGACTGTAGGAAGATGAAATATGGGCATTACATTTAGTTGACTCTTCGTAAAGATGGCTAGAAAAGAAAAGGAATAAGACCAGGTTGTAACTAACCCTCAAGTTAATATACTGAAGACAAAGACAAATTGTCGTGCTCGCCTTGGTCTCCAACAATTCATGCACACTTGACACATAATAAGCAGTAAATAAGTATTAGCTGAATGCAAACTACGCAGAAAAACTCTCTTCCCTCAGAGACCTCTGAGAGTAGGATGAATGGTGAAGGGCTTTTTTTTCTTAGGATACATATTTTTTCAGGTTTATTATATTAGGCATACAGCTCTATGAGTTTTGTCAAATATACACAGTCACATATTAACCACAACAATTTTTTTTAAGATTTTATTTATTTATTTGACACAGAGAGAGAGACCGTGAGAGAGGGAACACAAGCAGGGGGAGTGGGAGAGGGAGAAGCAGGCTTCCCGCTGAGCAGGGAGCCCGATGCGGGGCTCGATCCCAGGACCCTGGGACCATGACCTGAGCCGAAGGCAGACGCTTAACGACTGAGCCACCCAGGCGGCCCTAACCATGACAAATTTTAAAAAGTTCCTTTGTGTCCCCTTTCTCTTACTGCCAGTTTTTGGCAACCACTGATCTAATTTCTATCTCCATAAACTGACTTTTTCAGAATATCATGTAATGGAATCAAACAGGAGCTTTTGTGTCTGGATTATTTCATTTAGTATAATGCTTTTGAGATTCACCTATGTTTTTGCATGTATTAGTAGTTTATTCCCCACATTCTCACCAACACTTGTTATCTCTTATCTTTTTGATGATATCCAGTCTAACAGGTATGAGATAACATATCATTGTGATTTTGATTTGCCTTTCCTGGATGAATAGTAATGTTGAGCACCTTTTCATGTACCCATTGGCCATTTGTGTATCCTCTTTGGAAAATCATCTATTTGGTCCCTCTACCCACTTTTTAATTGGATTGTTTTGTTTTGTTTTTTTATTTTGGTTTGTTGTTGTTTTTCTTGTTTATGTTGTTTGTTATTGAGTTGTATGAGTTCCTTTGTATATTTGTGATATTAACCCCTATGAGATATATGATTTGAAAATATTTTTCCCATTCAGTAGGTTGCCTTTTCATTTTGTTAATTTTTTTTTTTTTTGCTGTGCCAAAGGTTTTTAGTTTGATGTAGTCTCATTTGTTAATTTTTGCTTTTGTTGCTTGTCAAATGTTGGTATCCTATCCAAAAAAATCATTGCCAAGACCAGTGTCAAGGAGCTGTTCCCCTGTGTTTTCTTCCAGAAGTTTTATGGTTTCAGGTTTTGTGTTTTAGTCTTTAATCCATTTTGAGTTAATTTTTGTGAGTTTTGTAAGGTAGGAGGTCCAATTTCATTCCTCTGAATGTGATTATTCAGTTTTCCCAACACCGTTTATTGAAACAACTATCCTTTCCTCATTGAGTATTTTTGACTCCCTTGTCAAATATTAGTTGACTGAATATACACAAGTTTATTTCTGGGCTCTTGGTTCTGTTCCATTGATCTATGAGTCTATTTTTCTGCCAGTACTGTTTTGATTACTACAGGTTTATAATACACTTTGAAATCAGGAAGTATAATGCCTTCAGCTTTATTCTTCTTTCTCAAGATTGCCTTGGTACTCAGGGTCTTTTGTGGTTTCATACAAGTTTTAGGATTGTTTTTAATATTTCTGTGGAAAACGCCATTTGAATTTTGATGGAGATTGCATTGACTCTACAGATGGTTTTGGGTAGTATGGACATTTTAACAATCCTAAATCTTCACACCCATGGACATGAGATAACTTTCCATTTATTTGTGGCTTCTTCCATTTCTTTCATCAAAGGATTACAATTTACAGTGTATATATCTTTCACCTCTTTGGTTAAATTTATTTCCAAGTGTTTCATTGTTTTGATGCGATTGTAAATGGGATTGTTTTATTTTTTTTCCAGGTATTTCATTGTTAGTATATAGAAGTGCAACTGATTTCTGTATGTTCATTTTGTATCCTGCAACTTTACTGAATTCATTGATTAGTTATAACAGTTTTTGGGTGGAGTCTTTAGGATTTTCTATATATAAGATACCATTTACAAACAAGACAGCTGCACTTTTTCCTTTCTAATTTGGATGCGTCTTATTTCTTTCTCTTGCCTGATTGTTCTGGTTAATAC